GAATTAGTGAGCCCGAATGGCATCATTACGAACTCGTAATGATCATAACGAATTTTGAAGGCCATCTTCGGTATATCCTCATCCCTATTCCTCATCTGGTGATACCCCGACTGAAGATCAATCTTGGAAAACCAAGATGCACCCTGAAGCTGATCAAATAAATCGTCGATCATCGGAAGCGGGTAACGGTTCTTCACTGTCAGCTTGTTCAGTTCCCGATAATCCATACACATCCTGTGTGACCCATCCTTCTTTTTCACGAATATGATCGGTGCTCCCCACGGGGAACTGCTCGGACGAATAAATCCCATGTCTAGCAAGTCCTGCATCTCAGGCAGAGCTATTCGATACAGTTCCTTGGCTACCGGTGCCGTACCGGGCATCAAATCAATCCAAAACTCAACCTGCCTCTCGGGAGGCACCCCAGGCAACTCCTCAGGAAATACATCAGGAAAATCTTGCACAATAGGTACCCTGCTCAACTCTATCGTGGTCTTCACCTGTGAATTTGAGAAATATGCAAGAAACCCAGAACAACCCTGTTAAAGAAGTCTCCTAGCCCTCACATCCGAACAGAGGGTTGGCCCATGCGAGGCTCTCTCACCATGAATAACAAGTTCTCCCCCACCTGGGGTTCGAACCCTCACCAGCTACCACTCATAATCGATTATGGCCCCATTGGTCCCCAACCAGTCCATCCCAATGATTACTTTCAATCCGATCAAAGGAATCGGTACCAAATCGATAGGAAACCTCTCGCCGAACATGTTCAGCATACTCTTCTGGAATACCCTCGCAGTGCTCACAGTGCGGTCATCTGCAATCTCCACCTCAAGAGGGGAATGCAAAGTCCCTGGAGCATCTCGAAACTTCTTGCTAAGTGCAAGAGATACAAATGATCGGGTAGCCCAGAATAAAAAAGAACATGAGCCGACAATCCATTGACCAAAAGGTCCCTATACAATATCATAACAATATAAGCATAACAATAACATAAATAAGATAGAAATAGGTCGCATACCAGTCACGACGTCTGAAGCTGCTCGGGCCTCCTCTGTGGTCAGCTGGAATGCGCGACTCTTTACCGCAAGAGCATCCGTCTTGACCGGGCGGCCATCAGTAATCCTCATTGCGGCGGGGGCAGGCGCCGCCACTGCTCCTCCAGACAACCTCGGATAATCGACCTTTTATGACCGGTTTGGTTGCAGTGAAAACAAATCAAACCCTTCTTGGGGAAATCGCTGCTTATGTGGCTCGGCTGGCCACAAGCATAACATGCCGAGCCTGCTACCTAACAGGCTACATTGTGCGGATTTCTGCACTTGGCACAGCGGCCCTGGCCCTAGTGGCCCCTACTGGGAGGATCGGAGGTCTTAGGATTTTTATCCTGACATACTGCTGCCTGAACCTGCTCCGGATTCCGCTTCATCCTGAGCTCCAACTCAATTTCCCGTTCACGTGCCTTCTCCACCATGTCATTTAGGGTTTTGCACCCCGAAAAGCTCACGAACTCACGATATCATCCCTCAGCATGGAATGATACCTTGTCTTCTTCATATCCTCATCTGCAACGTACTGCGGAACCAACAGTGCCATCTCTATGAACTTGGCGGTGATGTCCGCCACAGTCTCTGTGGTCTGGTGAAGGTCATGGAACTCCCTCACCAAACACTGCACCTCAATGGCCGGTGGAAACTCTCGATCGAACCTCCGCACAAACTCCTCCCATGCGATCTTAGCCACCCCCGCCAATCCTAGCTCGTGGGTAACCTCCTCCCACCAGTCTCGCACCCGATTTCTCAGCATATAGGACGCGAACCATACTTTTTCCGCCTCAGGGCAAAAGCTCGTATGTTGGGCATTCTCCATGTCAGCAACCCAACGGCGACTAGTGATGGGGTCCCAAACCCCAAACTCAGGCACACCACACGCCTTGAACTCCTGGAACGAGGGAGTTCGAGTCCCAATCTGTCCCGCAACAATCTCGGCTCGGAAAGACCTGAGCCGCTCCTCCATAATCTCCATGATCCCCTCTTTGACGGTACCAAAGATCACCGGGGTAGCATCAAGGATGCCACGGGTAACCTCAGCCGCGATAAGCTCGCACAGTCTCTCATCAATTGGTTGTGTACCAGAGCCTGAACCTGATCCGGATCCTGAACCCGAACCAGAACCTTCTCGCATAATCATCACCATCCTCAACTGAAAATACAACATAAAGAGCAATTGATAAGTAAATTCGAAGGGATTCCTCCTCATCGGACTCCTCGGAGCTTCCCGGTCTGCCCTTATTTCGAGTACAGATCCTATGCTTTCAGTAGTACGAGCCCACTACAACCTTCCACACCAACCTGTACCATCCCCAAGGCCATACCTGATACTTCTAATTCACCCAACCACAGATAAACATGACCTTACAGAACACAGCACAAACGCAGATCCTAGCCTATCCTAGGATTTCTCAATCCTCACCGAACTAGAAACCTAAATCAATCATCGCAGGTTGCCCTTTGCATGCAAGTTATATACAAATAGAATCACATAGACTGTCAAATAAAGCTTCTACCCTAAAACCACAACCAAACAAGGAACAGGAAATAAGGCAGAATCCATCATTCTAGGGCTATGCAATCCTAGACATATACAACTTTGAAAGCATACACTTAGCAAATAACCAATCCAATCATCAATTCCAAAAATATATCACTAGCATGGCTAATACTTTGGGAACACTTACTTGAGATCGGCCGATTACGCGCATCACACTCTCCCCCTTTTATTTAGGAAAACGGTTTTCAGAAAAATTTAACTTTTGTTTCTTTTTGAAAAAGGGTTTACCATTTCCTCAGTTTGAGTTCTGACACAGGTGAGAGTGTGCCCGAATCCTTCAAACCAAGGCTCTAATACCAACTTGTAACAGCCCAAAATTCAGATAAAAAATTTCATTTAATATTTAGAAATTACAACCATATTTGTTTTTCCAAAATTCCATTACATAAACTCATGTCCAAAAGATCAGAGTATCCAAAATAATAAGTGCGGAAATATTGGAGAGTGCATGTTGCGCCATCAAGCCGGGCCCTTGCCCTTAGAACCAGAGGTACCTGAAACACCCAACATAACTGTAAGAAAACTCTTAGTGAGTTCCCAAAATACACAAAACATATAACCACATAATGGCATGCAACATATATACATAGGATTGCCATGGACTCCCTCCATGGTCTTCACCTGAAATGTCATGGGCTATCCCCATGGTCTTACATCCAAGGGCCATGGGCTCCCCCCATGGTCTTAACCAAGTGTCATGGGCTCCCCCATGGTCTTCGCAAAAGTCATAACATGCCAAATAACAAACCATTACATATCCAACTATTGAAACCACATATCAAGTAATGGGTCGGCATTGGTGCCTTCGACCCATCGGTATTGTGAGAATACTCACCTCAGTCTGATGAAATCAATAGCTGCTCGACTATCAATCCAAATTCTCACACTGTAAGAATATACAAATAGCCCTAATTAGAATTATGACACAACCTAGACAAGGGCCCAAAATCCTAAGTCCAGGTCCCTCCATGATGGCCCATAGGTCTCTCCTTCCTTAATGGGCCCAACATCAAAGTCCAAAACCATAATGGGCCACAACGCCTAAAAGGCCCAATCATGCCAACTATAGCCCAAACTAGAACAAAAGTCCAATAAATCTGATTGGGTCCAGGCCCAAGGCTGAATAAGACCAAATAAGCTTACAAGTCCAACGAAGCCCAAACTCATCTGGGGTGCGTACGCCCAGCGTACCACATCAGTACGCCTGGCATACTGAGTCCTTTGGACGTACACGCAGCGTACACATCCTTACACCCGGCGTACAAACAGCTCATGCATAAAAGTCCATTAAGTGCTTAATACTTGAGATCTCCACGTCTAATTCCAGATCTGAGTCTATTAAGATGTCCTAGGGCATAAAGTTGGCAACTTTATGCCCTTACATGCCACATGGGACCCCAATACCTTGTTTTCCCATTAAGACCACTTTTAAGACCTTAAACTCATGCATGGTGCCAATAAAACCTTCAAGATGGCATTTTTATGCATCAATCATGACCAAGGAGATTAGATCTAACAAATCTAGCCTCTTAAGTTGCTCAAACTCGCAAGAGAGGGTCCATGAACCAAAAATGGACTTCATAACAAACCCTAACTCAAACTAGCAAAATCGATGGCAAGGTCTAGACTTTTTACCTCCAGAAGTTCCTCAAGATGAACTAGATGCAGGATTTAGAAGCTCAATAACATCCAAGGCTTGATCACCACCTTCTCCTTCTTGTAAACCCACTAAAATTGCCACCAAAACACTTTTACGCTCAAGGATTACACTCTCATGAAAATCTAGGGATTTTGGACGATAATAAACTCTGGAGGCTGTCTAGGGTAAGGTCCAAGCAACATAAGAGTGTTTAAATAGGGGTCTTGCCCTAAAATTAGGGTTTTAGTCTTGAGCCACGTACGCCCCGCGTACGTGGTGCATGCCCGCGACCAACCTTCCCTAGTACGCTAAGCGTACACCTATGTATGCCCAGTGTACGTAGGGACCCTTTTGCAAAGAAAATTTATTCTAAGGGGAAGAAAAGTAATTACCTGAATTTCGACCGTTACAATTTAGTTTAACCGAGTCCAATTAGTGACTTAGATCTATCCTTATAGATCTTGATTCCAAGGATATATGGTGCTTCTCCTAGATTATTCAGAGTTCCAATCCAAGACTTCGATGTTATACTCTTTAGAGTATCATTAAGTATGAGTAGTATGTTGTTATCTACACACAAGATCAGGAAGACAACGGTGACTTGTCTCGTTAGCATGAGATGTCGACAAGGAGGGTGCACGGCATCTTTGAAGTCACCGCAAGATTCCAACAAGGTAAACAACATTGTGGTAGTTCAGATATCAAATGAAACATCGTAATTAAACATTACATATATCACAGTAATTTTATTGCATCAAAGTTTCATACTACATATGCCACTTCTGGTTGAAACTATTTGTATACATGTTCTCATGATTTACACACCATTAACATTACAAATATCACATCATTAATCAAATCCACAAATCTCACCCTTCAAACCTTTATTTCTTTGTACAACTTTATATTTGATTATAGTTTTCCTAGAAAAGTCGTTGTTGATCATCCAAAACCACTGCCCGGAACTCACCAAGCTGGCTCATGGTAGCCAATGTTCTCAATGGCAGCAACAGTCTTGAATAAACGACGCTTGTGAATTTCCTCTACTAGGGAACGGTGAAGCAATTGACTGCGAATATCGACCACTGATCTTGTCCTCCTTATATTCCTATGTTGGGTCGTTTCTTGGTGTACTTTTTGCCTACTGCATCTTGTGCTCACTCTCTCTTCACCACAAAACCTAGTAAAACTCTCCTTCCCAGCAAGTTGTTGGTCTTGTCTTATAGATGATCTCGAACCATATTCTTCTTCAATATCTGAGCAGTAAGTGAAGTTTGAGTAGTTACAAGAATTTAATGAGCTTTGAGAATCTGTATCATCACCATTGGTGGCATTACCTACATCCAGTTCGTAAAATTAGATATTGCCGAAACATATCTATCACAAGTCCCCTCAGCTAACCCCATCTTGTAAAGGTATTACATCAGAACTAGAGTTTACCTCGATTCCAATGATCAAGGGTTGAATAGATCATGGTATTATCCGCTCGATCATGTACTGCATCAAATCGTCTCAATAGGCTCTGGAGAGAAGATTGAGATGATGACTGTGAGGAAGAAGAATGGAAAGGGTGAGGGGTATTGTCTTCGTCGTCATCATCATTATCATCATCGTAGCAAAAGCTATGATGATGAAGGTTTTTTAGACACATGGGTTGTTTCTTCCAAGTCGGAATTAAAGTCACAATCTCTTTATCAATCATCTCAGCAATATCAAATGGATCCCAATCGTGAATCTCCAATTCCTTCACCATCTCAGTTGCAACATCATGTGCTGTGTCACTGGCAATATCAAAGGGAAAATATATATTCCTTGCTATACCTATAATTTCATATAAATATACATTTAATGATCCAATTAAGAAATTGTTGGTTTAGTATAATTAACCAAGAAACAACTAATCTCTTCTATTACATACCGTTTTTATCAGAAATGAGTACTTTGAGGAAGATAGAATCGTCTTCTGCATTCATGGTGCCCGTGATCGTCATATCAGTAGTCCTTATTGGAACAATATTGGGAAATGAAGAAATCACCTTTTCAGGTTTCTTTTCGATGAAAGTAGGATTTTGGGTAGAGATTGTTGAGTTATTCATCGGTTGATCGGTGTCTTCAACGAGAAGGAAAGGTTCCATCAAGAGATCTCTCGCGGATGGCCTACTTGATGCATTTTGTAGGCATTTTCCAACAAACCCTTGAGCTTCTGCATCTTCTATCTGATAGAATGCTTTCGGCAACTTTCCCTGACAGTTTGGAATGTTAATATTTCAGCATTTACGATTGAAATATGCTTATACACTTCAAAAGCCTATAGATGTTCTTTTATTTTCAAAATATGTGTTTTTTTCAAAAAGATTGGATTAAGACTCTTTTTTGGGAAAAGATGGAGTAACAAAGTGTCTGATTGTCGAAATCATATATCAATCATACCGAAGTGACTTTCTTATATATTTGAGCTGGGTTGGAGCATTCACTGTAAGGATATTCAGACGTAAGCATTTCCAACACACACATGCCAAATGAGTAAATGTCCACAAGCTCATCGTAATCTTCTTCATACATCTCAGGTGCCATAAATTCAGGCGTACCTGTTTCATGCATAAATAAAAGTTAGTAAATCTACAGGGAAGAAATAAGTAAGAGAAACAAGCATGTCAAGAAACTTTGCCTATAACACTGTGTGCATGTTGTGATTCACAAAGAGTGGCAGCTAACCCAAGATCCCCAATCTTTACTTGACCAAGATGGCCATTGATGAAGATGTTATCGCATTTTAGATCTCGATGGATGACCGGAGGATTGTAGTTGTGCAAATAAGCCAGGCCTTCTAGGATTTGGCGTGCCCAATCTTTAATTGCTTGTATGTGCACCCGCTTGTATTTCTGTCTATACCTGCAAAATTATGGTGTGGAGAATATTGAGGATGTTACACAAGCAATACAGGAGAAACAATAAAAAACGACACAGTGAATTAACATGGCTTAATCGACGTGATCCAAAAAATTTGTCACATAATGTGATCGACTAGGTATTTAACTTTGAGTACAATTTTGTCGAGTTTAATTAATTTATGCCAATTTATATCGGTCCTATATATATATATATATATATATATATATATATATATATATATATATATATATATATATATATATATATATATATATATATATATATATGGGCGAATTTAAACATTTGAGGTTATCTTGACATGTAGTAATAGAAAATTTTGTTTGTGAGTTTTAAACTAGTAGAAGAAAAAGAAGAAAAGAACATTAATTAGAGCTTACAAATCCTAAAGAAATGTAGTTATTTTCACACTAATACTAAAAGTTACCATTAAAGAAATCAACTTCAAATTAAAAGTATTTTATATAAGTCATGTGATAAGGAAGTTTAGTGATTACTCTCTGAGGCTTCCGGCAGTGAACATCTCCGTTATGAAGTTAAAAGTCCTCCTATCAACATCGATCCAAGATGTGTGAAATCGCATTATGGATGTGTGATTGAGGTTTTTGAGGAGATGGACTTCTGAATATAGGCGTTGAAGGTCCTCCGGTGATCGGAAAATATCATTGAGTTTCACTTGGTTCCAAGCCACTTCGAGTGCTAAAACCTCATCAAATGCTTTGTAAACTGTTTTGGTTGCTCCTTTCCCAAGAACTTCCTTGAACTACAAACAACATTAATGCCTCTTTCAAACATTTACTATATAGAAATGTAATTATTTTTTACTTCTATGCAAAATTGAAAATGGCATTAATCAGGATTATAAAGATCGGATCCAATATAAAATCATTTTTGGATTTTGAAGATTGTGATGGTAACATCCTACCAAAATCATTATAAAACATATAAAATACATTTCCATGTAATAAATATATAACAAAATATAATTTAAAACATGAAAAATATGTCTACAATATACATGGTTTAACAATAAATAATTCAAATGTGTTTTCTAAGGTGCCCAAGACAAAATATTAAAAAAATAAAAATAATTAATAATAACAATCTTATGACCTACCTCTGATTTTACCCAAAAACGATCTAAGTATTATTGGGAATTGGGATCAATTTATTTAGGTGAGATTGTAGAATCGTACCATATTGCGATTAGGATCATGATTTTTAACAATTTTGGTGTTAATGTCCTGCTAGTTATTTATTATTAATGTTAGATGTTAGATAAGTTGATAAAAATTAAATAAAAGTAATCTAATTCGTATGATTTTTACCAGCATGTTTTTATAATCTTTTAACCTTTTTGTAGCTGCATTATTCGATAACCGGCTAATAAGTCTAAAAAAAAAAAAACCATGTCGACCCAACACGTATACATTCTAAATTAAATAAACAAAAAACTGTTCCTCTAATAAAATATTAACTTATTTTGTAATCTAATAGTAAACGTTAACATCTTCCTTACCCTGATAAAGTCATGGAGACACCGATTAATTAAATCCAAATAGGAAAGGAATAATATAAATAAAAAATGAAACTAGATTACTTATAATTATGCATTATTCTGACTATTAAAATGCTGGTCAACTTTCTAATGACATGAGCAAAAGAATTAAAATTAAAAAAAGTTAGTGCTGAAGCCAGCTTTTGATACCGTCCAACGGTTTTTTTTTTTTTAATTTCGAGTTGGTTATAAAAATTATAATCATTTTTTAAAAGAAACTAATGACTAAATCTTCAAAATTTTCATTAATATATAATAACATAAGATTAGTAACATTATCATGTTCGTATGTTAAGAGTTGAGCATTTACTTCAATATTGTGCTTATACAGTATGACTGTATGAGTAATTTATGTCTTGAAAAACACAAATCTATCATATTTCCTATGATAATTAATTAATCCAAATATAAAGAAAAAAAAAACTTACACGTCCATATCGACCCGATGGATCCGTTTCAGCGTACTCAAGTTGTGATTTTGCTCCACGGATGGAATCATTGCTTCGCGATCTGTACATGGTATCTTTTGAAGGTGATACAATGAACTATTTATTTGTAAAGTATCGAGTATTAATAACTAATCGTCCTTTAAACACTATAAAATTTAATTATTCCGAAAAAATAAATGAAAAGAAAAAAAAAACAGAATTTGCTGTAAATAGTAACGTAGATGATTAAAAAAACGATGGGTGATAAGTGCTAGATGATCGGAGGTCTCCCTTCATGGTTTTCATAAGGAAAAACACCAAAAACGAGCCAGAAAAGCATAGAGTAATCGATCCTAAGCATAATCCAAGCCATCACTGCAACTTCAGACCCAGAAATGTGTCCCTTAGAAGCCATTTAATCTGATTAATGAACCAAAAACGATGGAGAAAATATATATTTTCTATATATATAAGAAATAAACTGGCTTTTGATTGACGAAATATTAAAGATTTAAAAGCTTAAAAGTTGACAAGAAATCTGGCCCCTGAATTTGAAAAATCTGTGGCCACGTTTGGGGAATGCCATTTGTGATTATTGAGGAAAAAGAAAATGATTCAGAAGATTGAAATCTTGTAGAGATGAAAAGAGATTTGGAAGCCAAAGAGAAGGGGGGGAGAAAGAGCGGACTCTTTGAGTTGTTAACAAAATGAGTTTGGTAGGTTTGTGTTTGCAACGACTTGATATATCAACAAATGATGTTATTATAGAAGGCATAGGAAACCTACCGAAATTGACACAGATAATATATAATATAGAGAAAACTAGCTATTTGTTTATGCAAAGTCGATTGTGTAGTTTATCTTAGAGTGTAAAAGACAATATTATCCTTTGTATTAATTGTATAAAATATTCTAATGTCTTTGTGATCAAATAATCATTTCATATAGGCGGTTCATGCTTCTTTTAGGTTAGAGGCAAAAATAAAAAACCCCACAAAAAATATTTGATGTAAATTATAAAAGAAATTTATCAGTCATAAATGAAAATTAAACATTTTAACCAAATAATTAAACTTAAAAGTAAAAGAAAATAATAAATCTAGGTTTTAAATGTTGTTTCAAGCGGCGTTGCTTCTTTGTTACTAACTGGAGGTAGAACATTACACTCTCACTTTGGTATTCCTTTAAATCTTAATTAAATCTTAATGAAGATTATTTTTTTCTATAAAGCGAAACATCGATGCCTCCAAATTACTACAACAAACATCACTGATTATTTGGGATGAAGCACGGATGGTTCATAAACATGCATTTGAAGCCTTGGATCTGACTTTAAAGGATCTATTAAGTTCTGGTAATGTTAGCAACTCACATATACCATTTGGAGGAAAAGTAATAGTATTTGGAGGTGATTTCAAACAAATTCTACCATTTGTTTCCAATGGTAGCAAACAAGAAATTGTCGATGTGTCTTTAAGTTCTTCATATATATGGAGCAATTGCAAAGTACTAAAATTAACAAAGAGCGTGAGGTTAACTATTAGAAGTGATTCGTCTGAAATACAACAAACAAGGTTATTTGAAAATTGGTTGTTGGATATAAGAGAAGCAAATTGTTTGTAGTTCTAATGATGGTGATGCGATTATTCATTTTCTTGACGAACTTCTTATTACTTAACCCTGCCATCCTATAGATGCATTAATTGATTTGTATATCCATCATTTCTTGAAAACTTCAACAATCCAAATTATATTGAAGAAAGAGTAATACTTGCACCAAAAAATGAAGTCGTTCAAGAAATAAACGATTTTCTGCTTTTATTGTTTCCTGGAGAAGAAAAAGAATACATCATTTCATATAGTACATGTCAATCAAAGTTTATTCACGATCAATTTGATGAGACTTTATACTCACCTGATGTTCCAAACCATAAGTTAAATTTAAAAGTCGGTGTTCCAGTTATGTTACTAAGAAACATCAACCATAAAAATGGTTTATGTAACGGGGCTAAACTTCAGGTGGTATCATTGGGTAATCATGTCATAGAAACAGTTGTCATAATGGAAGCAATATCGGACGTCGAACTTTTATTTCAAGATTGTCTTTAACACCTTCAGACAACAAAATTTCATTCAAAATAAAAGTGAGACAATTTCTCCTGATTGTTTGTTTTGCTATGACCATAAATAAAAGTCAAGGACAATCATTGTCAAATGTGGGTTTGTTTTTGCGAGAACTGGGTTTCATACACGGTCAGTTATATGTTGCTTTATCTAAAGTATATAGTAGAGAATGATTGAAGTTATTGATTTAGATAAAGATGGTAATTTGGCCAATAAAACTTCTAATGTTGTATACAAAGAAGTGTTCCAAAATCTATCTCAAAATATTATGTTTATTTTTTACTTATCACATTAATTTAGGTTTACTTACAATCCAAAATACGTTGTATTTGTAACGCCCCGTTCGAGGTACGCATTTAATCTATTAAAGTATTCATTTTGTAAGAGCTACTCGACGAGTTGGTAGCCCTAACTCGTCGAGTAGATGCCAGCTTGGTCACGGGATTTAAATGATCTACTCGGCGAGTCGAAGCCCTGACTCGACGAGTAGGTCTGTCAGGAGGAAACCCTATTTCCGGGGTTTTGCACCCTATTTAAGCCACTTAACCCCTTTTGGGCCTCCCTTACCAGCCTCCCTGTCCTCCAAAACCCTAATTCGTTGTGAGCTTCATCATTGAGAGATTATTGAGGTTTTGAGTGTGTTTTTGTGATATAGAAGAGAGTTGGAAGAGATTGGAGCCATCAAGCTTGTGGAGAAGACCAAGATCCAGGATTTCATCCATCTTTGGCAACCTTCTGAGGTAAAAAGCTCTTATCTTGATAACCCATTGCTTAGATCTCTTTTAGTGTTGATTTATGGGTCTTTTTGATCCCTTTGAGAAGGATAAGTTACTCTCCATGGGTTGTATGCCAAGCAATCCCTTTGTCCTATGATATTTAGCCTCTAGAACCATAAAAGAGGTCTTGAATCCGTTTTTGTCCAAGCAATGGTCATGTTCATGGAAGTAGGTTGTTATAACTTGAGTTTGGGTCCATTTGAGGTGTGCAAAGCCATCAAGTCTCCAACTTTATCGAAATGGACCATGGAAACGATCTGGATCTGTATTTTGGAGCCTTAGAAGTGTGAAAATAGTTGTTTAGGTTAGATCTGCAAGGGACTCGACGAGTTCATATGGGAACTCGGCGAGTCCGATCAAGGATCCTCGATGATGTTCATGAAACTGTTGGGTTTTTGAGCATTCTAACACTCCTAAGTGTACATGCAACCCTAAATACCTTGGATCTATGTTTTCTCTATTATACATGCAAATATGAATATTCCAAGGTTGCATCCTAACTAGCATATTATGAAGCACCTATACTACAAAGTTCTAGTTAGATGACATACATTTTGATGTAGCTTGATGTCTTCAAGCTTTTAAAAGCTTAGCCCCAATAGTGTGGAAGCCTCAAATGGAATCACAAATCACCAAAACACCTTGGAAGAACTTGAGAGAATATGTATGCACACTAAAATCGGCCCACTCTTATTTTCACACACTTGTGCCAATTTTGTGAGCCAAGGACCCCTTTATATATTATGGAGGATTAGGGTTACATCCATGTAAACCCTAATACCCATGACCTTTCATTTACATAGGATCCATGGGTTAAAAGCTCCATGGACCATCCATGAAAGCTTAGCCCAACCTAAATGAACTTGGCCCATTCCATATATATAAGAGTCCATATTTAATTAGTTCTTTTTTGATCACTTAATTAATTCTAAATTAATTCTTGATCAATACTAATTAAATAATATGATTCCATATTAATATATTAGAACTTATAATATATTAATATAAATCATAAATATATACTATTCTCAAAAGACTATCCATATAAATTGTGTCGGTGAAGTGCAACCCAAATGGACCATGTCGCGTCGGGTCAAGTACATACCAAATATAGTTATGGACTTAGACATTAATCCAACAGTCTCCCACTTGGATAAGTCTAAAACTATTATTGAGTATGACTTCAAAACCTAACTGGCAATTGTAGCTCTTAAAGTCGCTGTCGAACTCTGACCTTGTCAATGACTTGTCCATTAGATAAGGGATCATATATTCCTCCATTCTAGATATCATATGGACTGAGACATGGATTATAATCATTCTCTCTGTCCATTTGTTGTTTCCCGATTTTCGATTTATGATGACTGACTGATTGAACAAATCAAATCAGTCCTGGCTTGGCCAAGCACTCACATGTGTCATCGCTAAATCATCGAGGGGCCCACAGATATCACTTTTATCCCGAAGGTAAAAGGAATGGATAAACTTCGACTCATATGGCTTGTTCTACTACTTGTTGAATCATACACAAAGGCACGTTTTATAACATCGAGTTACCAAATGTGTTTTCGTGCAATCAATGTATAACCAACTCATAGTAACAACTCATATCTCTAGGTTTGAAGAATATAAGATATTATCGTCTCATGATCACTCGTGATAAAATCCATGAAGTGATTCAAATGAGCGTGGGTTGAATCCAATACTCAGAACTTATGAGCACTCATGAGTGTTGTAGCACCACTTTGTCCACCAACTTGGACCTCTACAAACCAACCCATGACAGTCTTGATTCATATCTACTTCCAACATATGACCGACTGTGGATGGTTTGAATAACTTAATCATTCAGGAAGAGCGACTTAGTTATTTTGGAAGTCAAAACATGCAAAGTGAAACACAAGAATAAATGAATTAAATATGGTATCAAACCCTATGAATATAAATAAACACTTTTATTTATCACCATACTGATTACTTATTATTCATTGTTTCGGTTTTATCAACTTTATACTTGAATTAAAACACTAGTTGTCCCATGCTCCAAGCATGTACACTATGTTTTTCTTAAGCAATAGCTTTGCCATACACCAAGTACGTACTCTATGTTTGTCTATGATCCTTACTTTGTGAAATAAACCAATTAAACATAATTTCAATGATTCTAATTTCACACTCCCAAATCCTTATGGAAAAATGTGAGAATTTCAAATTCCTATCATTTATCGAAATCTGTTTAGATTTTAAACTTATATGCACTGACCCTCCTGTAATGAATATGTACAAAGTCACAAAGACTTGTCAACAGTCATTATAAGGTATTCCAATGGAGATCAACTCCATGGAAACTAAGTCTCATATTCAAAGTACATTGCTTTGGACATGCTTCTTGCATTAAGTTTTCTAATCTTACACATATAACTTCCACCTATGGAGACAACTCCATATTCTCATTTTGACTATAACTTCTGAATAAGAGATGCCTCTTTTCAGAATATGTCAATATGGTCCTTCCAAAATTAGCACTATACTTCCAACTGTCCCTGAGCAACCAATCTTTGGTAAACCTCAGATTGTCCTCGACAATTGCTTAATCATTTTAGTCATATCCAATTCTAGACCTTTTCCCTTCTTAATGCCTCTGGGCATTTGGAAAAATTTAGAAATGACAAATATTATAGCACATGCAATCGATCCTGTACCCAAAGCAAATGGTACACGATTCATGATGTCTCACATAAAGACATGATTCTAGACCAGTCTTTTGCTACAATATTTTTATTTGCCATGTTTTCAAAATTTGACTATGAAGAGGGATGCCGTAATCATAATCGAATTTTGAGAACGCAATATATAGAATTTCC